CTTGACGCTTCGAGGGCCTGACTCCCAACAGATCCTGTGCGTTCAGAGTCCGCTCTCTCCACCACTTCGTCAATTCGCAATGTGGTGAAATCAGCCCCCACTATTTCCCCCACTATTTCCCCAGTTGTTATTGCGCAAAGTAGTATAAAAGAGGATGACCTCATTTCCGTCTACATACACGAAATATCAAGTCAAATTGACTCATTTTTAAGAAGAATCAAAAGGCCGCTTTCCTTCCTGCTCATTTTTGGGGTTCTTGGCCTTTTTATTAACTTTGTCGTCACTTCGCTTGCTGCGCCTTTTCTCTGTCAAAACCCGGGATTCACTAGTTTTGCTCACTGTCAGATTTACTTCCACAATACCCAAGACTACTCAAGTCAACACTACGCCAATGCAACGTACCCAGACTTCCCTACCCTGATGAGTATTGAGAGCTCATTCGAAAAGATCGTTGATGGTGCAGCTGGAGGCACTGCCCTCGCAAGAGCAATGAAATCAAGTGAAATGGCTGTCAGTGATCTCAGTACGGTTGTGAGATACAGCGACCTCAAGTGCAAAGAAAGCTTGAGCTCGAAGCTAGACGCATTTGCAACCGATGCCAAAGCTAGCGTGCGGGCACTCAGTGGATGGGGTAGCAAAGTTGGAGGTGTTCTTGACCAGTGCGGCGTCCTCCATTTGAATTTGCCTCTCCTCGTTCTCCATAAGGTGAAGGGGAGCTGTTCGCACATTGACTAACTGTTTTGTTCGTAATGTTTGGTAGACTGCTCTCCATCAATCAATACTCTTTGAGAGAACTCAATGGCCTCAGAGAATTGGAAAACAGAAAGGGCTTCATTTCCATGGTTCTCGCTCCGCTCGATCCAATCCTCACACCCATCCTCTACAAACCTGCTAGCTTCCTTGCTTCCATGACCTCTGGAGCTTACAATTCTCCACCTGCACCCTCTACTCTTCCTCCCGTGACTAGACACTCTCCTCAAACACGTGCACAGATTGCAGCCACGTTCAACAAAGCAGCCGAGGTCTTGGAGCTCAACCTTCGGCAGCTGGTTGGCGATGGAGAGACCATCTTTGTATCACTCACTCACCTGTCAGAGCAGCACAAACCAATCTATGATGAGATTGTCCGCGAGGTGGTGGATATTAAGAAGGAAGAAGAGGTGGTGCTATCATCTTTGTGGACAAGAATGGGTGGGAACCAACTACAGCGCAAAAACTTCCGCGACAATGCCAAACTCCTCGAAATGATTGGCAAATACGAAGAGGAAGCTCGTGGCTACGTTGAGAGCACTGTGCTGGAGCTCGATCGTATGATGGCTGATTTGGAGATCTTGAGAAGAAGAGTCGCGGAGCCTCTGCTTATTGGAGAGGGCAACAAACGGCAGATACACATGGGGGCTACCTCGGGTGATATTCCTTTGCAGGTTCACATTGAAGCGATTGAGAAGGCAGTTGAACGATTGATTCGCAAGCGGGGTGAACGACGAGAGAGGGAAGATTCGTACTTGAAGGCACTGATAGAGAACAATGAGCGAGGGCCAAAAGTGGATATTGTTGTGGAGGACTAAGTAAAGCAGAGTCGCAAAAGTGCAGCACCTCCTTTTCATGAGGCTATTTTCTTACAGCCAAAAGTGGTCATTTTACACTTGCTACAGGATTTTCATCTTTGCATTTACAACCTTCCTACTTATATTTCCTTTCGGCGCAATATTGGTCGGAATCAATCTGAATTTATGGATTACACTCTGTGGGAGGGTAGTGTGCTTTTGGTGGATGTTTTCTTTGCTACAATTGTTTTGATGGGGAAGAATTTTTACATTGGGTAAGTATCGGTTTATTTAGAATAACCCACTTTTTCTTCCGCTTCTCTGTAAGCCTCTTTTCTTTGAGCTTGGGTTCCTTAAGTTTGGACGTTCAGGGCGTTAGGTCGGATTAAGCGCTGCTTGCGACAGGAGACCGCGTGTTACAGGGAGTGGGCTATTCCCTCTTGTGCTGTTTGCTTCCCCCCTCGATTCACTTCACTCACTTTTCTCTTCGCGTTTGCATTTTCAATCATATTTCGTTAATTCAGCCCCGTGTTTTTTTTTTTGTTCACTTCTGGTGAATATTTCTCGGGAAAGGGTTTGGCTGGTGTATGGTGGGATGGATTTAGAATCGAGACTAGAGTGGAATTGGGCCTGGACTTGGGAGGGAATGGAGTGGAAGCGGATCGGGACGGGGTAGCAGTGCACATACTTGCTTCTGGAGTACTTGGTACTTGTGCAAATTGGACCTTGTGGATGTATACACGTGGATTCTGACTTTTTGGGGGTTCTTCGGTTCTTCATTGGGTTATCTGGGGTTATCTGGGGTTTGGAATTTACTTTGTTTTCCCCGTTGATTTTTTTTTGACATGCATTGGGACAGGCTCTGCTGTGTTTATTTATTTTTGTTTGTAGCGTTCTTTAATGTAAGTTTATTTTAAACAACTGGTGAGATGAGATGACATGTGCGATGACGCAGATGGCGAGGTAAGATGCCCTCGGTTGCACCACTGCTGTTGCGCAAGGTGTGGAGGGGAGGAGATCAAGATCTTGATCTTTGATACATCATGTGAACCAGCGAGCCCTACGCCATGTGTCAGTCGGTGGGGACGGGGATCAAAATGACTTTTTAAATGTGTGATCGATCAGATTGAACTCTGTGCCACGACCATGGGGTATGGTGCTCCCCCCCCCGCGCGGATGGCTCCGGCCGCGCGTGCGCCGGGGGGTGAACGCGTGGGGAATTTGCTTTTGCGGAATTGGGGGCAAATTATTATATATATCTTGTTACATGAGTATGTAAAAAAACCAAAAAAAAAAACCAAACTATATAACAGCAACACATACTGTAACCTGTACATACAGTATACTGTATATGATTTGTTTTTACTTTACACGTGGGAGAAGAAGAAGAAGAAGAAGAAGAAGAAGTTTGTAGTTAATGTTTGATTTTGTTGTTTTGATTTTGATTTTGATTGTTAAGATCACATGACTTTGAATAATAAATCTTTTTCATTTCTTAGATTCTCAAAATAGAAAAATAAATACCTGGCTCTGAACTTTTCTGAGTTCGCCCGTGTGTGTGTTTGCTCAAAGGTGAATGAACTTGTTGATTGACATTAATGCCAGGATGAATGCTAGAGGGAAATTACCGAAATTTTTTTTTTTTTTTTTTTTTTTAAAAAAATTTTATGGCTTACTAGGTACTGTATTGGGAAATATATAGTAGTAATACTTTAACTAACATAACACATAACGCCCAAGTGTATGAGAAGAGTATGCAATGCAGGCAACTTCGTGGCCATCAGCAAAAAAAAATAAAAATAAATAAATAAATAAATCTACCGTCCTGACGCACCAACCTACGCTTCATGAAGCAACGCATATCTTCATGTAGTTCCCATCCTACTACCTACCTAGGCCCATGCTGCATCCTGCGAAACGTTTTAGTTTTTCAGCCACCACTACAGTTCATCCCGTCGGAATCAGCTCTAGAACTTTTACCTACTCACAAAATGAAATCTACAGAAAACATCACCAGGAATGGAATTCTAACCATATGGCCGAATACAATTCGCACCAAGTGCAAATAACTGGTGAGCATCATGACCGCAAGCACCACATCTCAGAATTCCCCCTCCTTTACTATATACGGCTATTGCGCTCGATTCCCCCCCCCCCCCCAACAAGGTGGAGCCCAAATTCGAAGTCGCAAGGCTGATTCCGACATTAGGGGGGGGGGGGGGGGGGAGGGGGCTGGCAGCATGTGGATCCCCCCCCTCCCTATATGTGATCGCTTGTGACTTAAGGAATTTTTTTTTCTTATTATTCTATCTCAAGGCTCACCTATAACGTAGCCTCTCATTTCTAGAATCATTTGCACGGTGTTGTGGGGCTTTATTTTGACGGTGATTTCTAGGCCAGTTTGATTCTGGCGGTTGATTTCGTGGCCGATAGTACTGTATCTAGCTAGTTTTGCGTCGTACAATGTATATTGCAAGAGAATAAGTACTTGAGTACTTGTTTGGAAAATGCATATAATGCAGGTGCAATAGAAAATAAGCGCGCTTGCCTTTGCGCCTATACTAGAAGACCATTCGCGTTGGAATTCCTAGGAAATTAAAATCGAAACACCTCTCATAAAGAAGACAAGATTTTTAGTGCGTACAAAGAAGCAGCATATGAGTGCAATCGTTCCATCAGAAAAGTATATTATAACCAGGTTATTGGCGTAAAGTCATTACTATGGAGAGTGTAGCTTTATTGGTGAAGAGGGGGTTACCTAAATCAAACATTCATAGCCTGAGACTTTTCGTCTGACGTCTGAACAATGCCCATTGCCCATGTTAGTTGAGATCTATGAATAGTTATGAATATGGTGCATGTTTTTGACACATACTTGAGAGTTTCATACGTTCAATGCTCTTGACGCCCCAGACTAACTGAAATACCTCAGGTTTTGATGCAAAAAGGACTCTACCTAGGCGTTGAGCCCTTAAGAGCCCTTAAGAGCCCTGATCTGCGTCGTCATAGTGGGGTTGTATGTTTGGGCTCTAGGGATACGTCTGACAGCAAGCAAGTATCGCGGGAGGTACGGTGCTGGTGTGAAAGAAACAGGCATGACTCCCTATTTCAGAACAGAATCTAGAGTCAGAGGCTATGTAGCTCAAGTATGGTGAGAAGAGGGGGTTGTTCGCGAGGAGCATATTATATGTATAGATAGCACAGATAGCATGACATAGTATAGACAGCGTAGCATAGCATAGCTCACGATCGGCATACAGGCGCACGCCACGTCGTGATCCGCATCCATCGAACATAATTGCTGAGACTAGGTACTTACCTCTATCTTTGCTGTAATCATTAACAATGGAAACAAACGTTCCTAGAGGCGGAGGATTCTAGCACAATTTAGACCAGACTGAGGGGAAAGCAAAAAAAAAGGGAAAAAGAATATTCGGTCCGAAGACTGGAATGTGCCCCCTATCAGGATCGAACTGATGACACTCAGCGCACTGCTATGAGACTGATGCTCTACCAACTGAGCTAAGGATGCGTTTGGATATACAGGGTTTATAAGTGAAGCTTATAACATGAGACATTGTGTCAATGACACAAAACAAGGTTTGAACCTAAAATTCCAAGGCTGCTGACGAATATTTTGCATAGCCCTCGTTACCCGGATTCCGAGTTGCGTCCTGGTATGGCCTCAGACAACCAGACATGGCCTCAGATGGTCAACTTTGTATATGTACACACCACAATGGTTGGCAGAACTAAAGAGATTTCCAAATCATATTAGACAATTTGTTCTAGCAATTCTATTTGTTATTTTTTCAATAATAGTGCGGTAGGCTGATACAGTGAACTCGCGTTATAAGAAACTCTTGGGGACCGGGAAAAGGTTTCTTATAGGGCGAGTTTTCTTATAGCGCGAGATACATACAAAAACTAGGAAATGTCCGAGAGAGGCTTAAAAAAAGCCCGTGATAGCAGTCTGATGGTGTGCACCCTCCCAAAGCCATGCCTTGTAGAGTCTCAAATATCCCGCTTTTCTCGATACAGAACAGCCTCCACCTTCTCTCCTCGCTGTGAATTGACATGAGGATTTTTGAAGACGTAGGGCTCCAAGGCCTTCAAAACCCTCAAGTGCCTCTTACTCGTGATATAAGCGATTTTTATTTTTATATATATTACTAAGCCAAATATTCAAGAAGCTTGCCTATAACCCGAGTTTCTTAATTCCCTATACAAAATTCTGTCGGGGCCGGAGAATAGTTGCTTATATCGCGAGGTTTCTTATATCGTGGGTTTCTTATAACGCGAGTTCACTGTGGTTTGAAGTCTGAGCAGCTTCAGTGTGAGTAAAAGATTTAAGATTTTAAGAGAGCAGAGCACTCAGGGCAAGTAGAGATTCGGCCTTTGGAAAAAGAGCAACGAGACAAGGAAAAGGATGAGGTGGAGCAATGAACAGACGGAAGCAGGATAGGTCACAGGCGTCGTCCGTTTGCTATGCAATCCGCTGCGCACGAAACCCCCAGACGTCACCAAACGGAAGAATAGAATATACCGGTATAGCAGAAACAAAATACTGTAACAAATGAACTTAGCCTGGTGCTCAGCCCATGCCCACACCGCATCTGCCACCGCTCTACACAAGTCTGGACCGCTGTATGTTTGCTTCAACGTCCTCACCTTCCGGTTTGCCGTCAATGGGCATCACAGGCTAAAAGTTGCATAGAGAGGTGTCTGCTCTTCCGATCTTGCGTATCCAGCACCTCTGTATCCTATGTCCATCCATGGCTACTTAATATACGTCAATCCTCTCAGAGCCTGGCGACTTTGCTTACTTCTGGTGTGTATGCGGTACTGTATGTTTGTCTGATTTCATGTTGGACTTGTGTACCATCCATCCAACCGCCACTGCCTTCTTGGAACTGTAGTCCGCGGCCGCGTTTCTGGGTTCTCCACTGCGTCCCTTCACCCGCATCAGAGCTCGTGGGCTTCTATTTCTTCTACCCATTACCTCGGCTGCTCGTACTGCAGTTCTGCCGCTTTTGCGATTAAACTTGGCTGTCTAGAACAAACATAGTCTACTGAATGTTCTCTTGCCACCCTAGGGCTATCCATCATTTCTGCGTTGCATATCTCCCCGGTACTGCCCATGGTGTGCTGTGGCTCCTGCTGCGGTGCCACTACATATGTACCTGTCTCAGTGAGTATGTAAAAGGATATAACGAAACATAAGGGTAATGATAAGACAGTGAAAAAAGTAGAAGGAAAATGCATGACCATAGTGCCGACTACTGGCCCGGTACTGGGATTCCATTACACATATGGGGCAGGGAGCCACCCAGCGGTCGGTAGGACCGTAGGGTAATCATCCAGGTCCACCCCTAGAGCATGCACTTTCTCATCATAGGCTAGTCTAAATACGAGTCATGATTCACGCACCCCCAAAAAAAGAGTTCGTGTGAGAGGACTACATAGTGATATATGTATACTCACTGATCATACGAAAAATTGGGCGCCATGTAAGAGAGTCGTGCCTTTAGTCACAGCACCATGCCTTGTCGCGGCATTCAACGTTGAATGTGATGATTCTATAGATCTGAGGGGGTATGTGAGGTTATGAAACGTTTGTCGTCGTAAGGCAATTGCAAGGATCATAAGTAGGTATATTGTCTATCTCAACATGAAGGTTTGACGAATGACTTCTAGCCCTAAGGCTAGACTGAAGTCAATCCCTTTTCAGCATGGCACAATTTGAATTCATCGTACTACAGCACACCGACTGCCCTGAACGTCCATCCTGGTTAAGCTACATCCTTTGAACTTTCCGGGCCGTTGAGCGTCATGGTTAGTAGATCTAGACGAAGCGAAGCCAGCGATCTTGAGCCCATGGTAGTAGAACGTAATTTCAATTAACGGAGGCACAACGTCGCACATGTACAGCAATATCTAATATCTCTATAATATATCAACTATGCCTAACATACACCACCAGAGAGTACCTACGTTTACTCCCCAGTAAACAAGTTGTGAATTGACAGAAGAAGTAGAGATAATGAATACGACGCCAACCACAGAAAAATCTTGGAAAGAAAAGCCCCCGGAACCAAAATCACACTTTCTCCCATACTGTTCACGCCCGCTTTTTCAATAGCCTCCACAGACCCGAGGGACGATACTTCTAGTCATAGCTCACCCGCCTTGGTTTTTCCCAGCTTACTGAGTGGACCCTTCTTCACCATGATGCTCATCACCTATGAAAAAGTGCCTTAGTACGTATAAAGGACCAGTCAAAGAAGAAAGAAACGAACCTCAAACAGAATATCAGCGGCCGCCATGGTTGTGAGTTCAGCATTTGTGTCATAAGCTGGGGCAACTTCAACAATATCTGCACCAACGAGATTAAGGCCCTCAAGGCCCCGAAGGATGGATCTGAGCTCCCTTGTAGACCAGCCACCAGTCTCAGGAGTTCCAGTTGCTGGGGCAACTACTCGCAGGGTGGTTAGTCAAAGATACACCATAAGGTAATCCTAGAGTGAAGGACTTACAAGCGGGATCCAGGGTGTCGATATCGATTGATAAATAAACGGGCTGCTCAATCCCCACCCTTGCCAAAATCTTCTTGATGATTCCCGCGACACCAAGCGTGTCAATCTCCCGGGCTTCAACAATCTCAAATCCGACATAACCGTCATTTTCATAATCCGAGGGGCCGGATAGGGTCGTCCTGATACCAACGTGGATGTTGCTATCATTCCTCAAAAGACCTTCTTGGGCGGCATGGTACTATCGATAATATAAGCTTAGGTCTCGCTTAGCAAAGGCTTCTAGTTAACTTACAAAATAGGTACCGTGGTTGATGGACGCAACCTCTGATGGTGAACCCCCAAAGACCTTCGGCTTCCAGGTATCACTAGGCGTACGTGTCAGTCGATAAAGTCGAGAGTTCATGGAGGTCTAATCGTGCACCTACAGGTGGCTATCGAAATGGATGACTGAAATTGGCCCGTACGCCTTTTTCACGCTCCTTAGGATGGGCAATACGATGGTGTGATCCCCTCCAAGGGTGATCACTCTGGGAAGAGTACGGCCTTGTAAACTAGGCCCATCCATACTGGCATCGGTATGTGGTTTTCGCATAAGCAACGCATTGTGGCCATCCTCTATTTGCTTGATGGCGAAGGTGTTATCATACCTAAGAATGGCAAGGCAGCTCAGCACAGCTCAAGCTTGATTCCAGTTACTAGGCTTGTTGTCACTTACGATGTCACCGGAATATCTCCACAGTCCAAGACCCTCGCCCAAGAATTGAAAGGATTCACGTTCATTGGGACATTGTATCCGCCACTACAAGCAGTTTGTCTCAGTATCATCAGTTTAAGAGAAAAAAGAGGTCCCATACTAAAGATTAAGGCGACGGGAACCTTGACGTATGCCGGATGGCCCAAAGCGAGCCCCAGGTCTGTATGAAGTTCCGGTATCAAAGGGTGCACCTGGATTAACGAGCATGACATCAGCCTCTGACCTTTCTGTTGCAGCTTCTTTGGTCTCTTGTCTTCTCACCAAGGAAGGCGATATCGAATTGCTCGATTTCGGACGCGAGGCATGGCCAATATGGGAGCCGACCGAATGTCGATATTCCTGAGAAGACACTGTCCGCCTATAAACAGCAGTCAGTTAAGCCAACGCATTATAGATACATTCAAACTAACTTGTGTTCCTCCGTCCCCAGGGAGTTTATTGTACCACAGGCCTGAATGTGGGCCGATGGCACTCAGTGGTGTTTGGTCCCCAGAGTGTGAGTGCGCCGTGGCGAATGACACACATAAGAGTAGTAACCCTGGAAGAGTTTTAAACATCATTTCAAGCCTGTATGAAGAGATTTGATAATGGTGTGGAAGAGTCCCTTGTGGGTTGGGGATTGAATATGATTAAGATAAAAATGGGGACCATCCCGATGTACCAGCTCACCTTTAAACATCCACTCTTTCATTGCAGGTGTACTCAGAAGAGCGCTCTCTCTCACACCCCGTTAGTCATTTTGCTTAGTACAATTGACACATGTGTCTGATTCTAGATAACCTAGCGGACCCTCGAGCTGTATTAGCTACACATACAACATCATTAAGGGCCATTACATCAAGAATGAGATAAGGAATATACCCAATTGGTTTAGTTATGACAAAGGTACAATGCATGCTTCCAGGCCTGCACTAAGGGGACTTGAGATAGGAACTCTGTGGGCACAGTTTCGATTTTTGGATCACCATACGCGGGATTCTTTTAGGTAATATCAGTTACCCGGAGCGTAGAAACTTGACGCTATTGATGAGGAATTTCAGATTAGTGGGGGGCCAGCTCTCAATATGAGGCACGAAGTTCAACTTACTTGATAGAAACTGCTGATTCCCGCCAGGCTAGCTGATTCCTAGGCTATTACTCCGCCTACGGCGAACAGATGTATAATATCGAACAGGTGTATAATATCGATTGAAATTAACTATCGTATGTTGGTTGGAATGTCCTGTAGCAAAAGGTATCAAA